TCAGAAACCCACATACAGACACCCACTCCAAAGACAACATTGAGCAGCTTTGGGGTTCCAGGCCCTCCTTCAAAGGAAGGAACTCTTGCACAGGTGGAGTGAGCAGGGACCTCCCCTGCTGCCTCCCCCTCACTTGAGGGTGGATTCTCCGGAATGCAGGCAGGGGTTCAGGGCAGGTTTTCAGAGATATTCTCAACTGAGCTGCGAGTCGTGACCTGTTACCAAATGGTCCTTTCTCCCCACTGGGACGGAGCCTCATCCCTTGTGTCCCTAAGCCATAGGCTGCCCCTGCCCTTCAGGGCTCTCCACTGTCTGTCTCTGTCTGTCTGTCTCTGTCTGTCTGTCTCCCTGTTCAAGCTCCCTGCCTCTGTAGCCTCGTATGTACAAATCATTGCCCTGCTGTTCCCGCCGCTGCCCTTTGCCCATTTCTGGCTCTCTTCCCTCCTCTGCGCCTACTGAAATCCTATTCAGTCTTCAGAGGCCACCCAAGTCCCGGCTTCCCCTCCTCCACCCCCCTTCTCAGCCTGAGGTGCCGTCCCCTGCTTCTAAGTCCCAAGGGGGCCCAGGATCTGTTCTACTGACTCCAACTGTTACTTCACTTATCATTATATGGGGCTTTCATCGCCGCAACTGGATGATAAATTCCCAGACTTTAACAGCGAGTGATTTATGGATCTTTTCCCTATCCCCCACACCTGTCCCCAGCTCCTGGTGCAGTGGATTGCATTTGATTAATCCCTCTGGATCAAAAGTTTTACATGTATCAGAGCAGGGTCATCAGGCAGAATCTGGGCATGGTATTCAGGAATTTTTCTCTTGGGAATCACACACATTCTTTAAAAAAAAGGGCATATCCTCTGTTATCTAAATGCCTCAAGTATCTGGATGTTTGGCCATAAGGACATAAAACAACCAGATGAGTGATTGCGCTTTTCAGTTTTCCTCTGGATCTTTCTGCCACCTGTTCCCTGGGCCCCCTCGGAGACAGCGGCCACCATTCCCATTCTTCTGCCCATAGATTTTCCCAGCCCCCTGTGCCCCTGCTGCCCTGCTAGAAACCGGAAAGTCTAACCTTGCCCCTTTGAGGCTGTGAAAACACAGAGTAAAAGTGGGAAGAGCCGTGAGCTAACAGATTCCACAACCACAGGCAAATCTGAGCATGGTGGTTTCTAATAGTATTGACAAGGACGGCTGAGCATGGTGGCTTACGCCTGTAATTCCAGCACTTTGGGAGGTTGAGGCAGGCAGGCTGCTAGAGCCTAGGAGTTCAAGGCAGCAGTGAGCCATGATCCTGCCACTCCACTCTAGCCTGGCTGACAGAGCAAGACCCTGTCTCTTAAATCTGTGCAAACTGTACCTCAAAGCTACACTACTGAATCATAAAACATTGGGAGTCCCCACCCAAGAGAGGCATCTTCTCAGCACCAGCGCCACATCTCCCTATGAGTTTGAGTGGGAGGCACTTCAGAGCCCGTAAGGATGCCTGTCAAGGTCTCTCTAGAAATACCGAGGTCTGGCACATATAGTTAAGGAAAATACACCAGGAGGTGATGGAAAAGGGCAAGGTAAAGAGGAAGAAGAGAGGGGAAGGTGACCGATAGGGCTATGGCAGCAGACAGCCAGCAACAGCCAGTTGCCAGGCAGCGGCCAGGGCAAGGCAGGCAAGGAGGCAGATGGAAGTAAGCCCCTTCTTTCCACTGGAGTTTTCTCTTCCCTGGGAATTTCATTGTACTTTGTTGAAAAATAAAGAGTGAAAATACAAAGAAAAACACCCCCTCAACCCATGCCATATACAAAAAGATTATACTCAAAATGTATCAAAGACCTAAATGTTACTAGCTGAAACTGTTAAGCTCCTAGAGAAAGACATAGGCATATCTCTTGCATATTATCTTGTGACCTTTGATTAGGCAGTCAGCGGTCTCAAGATGATAGCAAAAGTGCAATCAACAGAAGAAAAATAGATAATTGGACTTCAGTAAAATTGTAACTTCTGTGCTTCATAGGACACCATCAAGGAAATGAAAAGACAGCTACAGGATGGAAGAAAATATTTTGAAGTCATATATCTGATAAGGATTTGATATCGAGAATATCTAATGAACTGTTATAACTCAACAACAAAAAGACAAACAGGCCTGTTTAAAAGCGGGCAAGGGACTTGAATGGACATTTATCCATCGATGATATACAGACGGCTGATAGAGATGCACACACACAGAGATGCCCAGCATCATTAGTCATTGGAGAAATGTAAAACAAAACCCATTGAGCGACCACATCACACCCACTAGGATGGCTGTGACCAAAAACACACACCGTGTCAATAAAACAGAAAATAACAAGTGTTGGTGAGGATGTGGAGAAATACGAATCCTGGTACATCGCTGATGGGAAGGCAAAATGGTACAGCCTCTGTGGAAAACAGTTTGGCAGTTCCTCAAAAAGCTAAACATAGAATTACTATATGATCCAGCCATTCTACTCCTAGGTATATACCCAAAAGAATTGAAAAGAGGGACTCAGGCCAGGTGCAGTGGCTCACGCCTGTAATCCCAGCACTCTGGGAGGCTGAGGTGGGCAAATCACCTGCGGTTGGGAGTTCAAGACCAGACTGACCAACATGGAGAAACTCTGTTTCTACTAAAAATGCAAAAAATTAGCTGGGCGTGGTAGTGCATGCCTATAATCCCAGCTACTCAGGAGGCTGAGGTGGGAGAATCACTTGAACCCAGGAGGTGGAGGTTGTGGTGAGCTCAGATTGCACCATTGCACTGCAGCCTGGGCAACAAGAGCAAAACTGTGTCTTTAAAGAAAAAAAAAAAAAAAAAAAGAGGGACTCAAAGAGAAACTTATATGCCAACGTCCATAGCAGCATTATTCACAATAACCAATTGTGAAACAACCCAAATGTCCACCAACAAGTGAATGGATAAACAAAATGTGGTATAGACATAAAATGGAATATTATTCAGCCATAAAAAGGAATGAAGTTTGAATACATGCTATAACATGAATGAACCTTCAAACATTATTATGCTTGGTCAAATAACCAGAACCAAAGAACAAAAATTATTTCACTCATAGGAAATATCTAGAATAGACAAATTCATGAGTATAGAAAGTAAATTAGAGGTTACCAGGAGCTGGGGGCAAGGGAAAATACTGAGTTGATGCTTAATGGTTACGGAGTTTCTGTTTGCAGTGATTAAAAGTTTTGGGAATAGGCCGGGTACAGTGGCTCACACCTGTAATCCCAGCACTTTGGGAGGCTGAGGCGGGTGGGTCACCTGAGGTCAGGAGCTCGAGACCAGCCTGGCCAACATGGCAAGACCCTGTCTCTACTAAAAATACAAAAATTAGCTGGGTGTGGTGGCGGCCGCCTGTAATCCCAGCTACTTAGGAGGCTGAGGCAGGAGAATCACTTGAACACGGGAGGTGGAGGTTGCAGTGAGTCAAGATCATGCCATTACACTCCAGCCTGGGCAACAAGAGTGAAACTCCACCTCAAAAAAAAAAAAGAGTTTTAGAAATAGATAGTGGTGATGGTTGACAATGTTGCATAAGTAATTGGTGCCACTGAATTGTACATTTAAAGATGATTAAAAAGGAAAACGTTATGTTATGTATATGTTTTGCCCCAGTTGTTTAGTGGACTAAAATTTAAATAGACAGTTCACCGCAGTGGATATAAAAATGGCCAATAAGCACATGAAGGGATTCTCAGCATCATCGGTCATCAGAGAAACACAAATCAAGACCACAATGAGAGACCACTTGATATCCACGAGGATGGCTGGAATAAAAAAGACACATGGTAATAAGTGTCGGTGAGGATGTGGGGCAGCTGGAACCCTCACACACTGCTGGCGGGAGCGGAAACGGGCTCAGCCACTTTGGAAAACAGCAGAAGGTCAAACATACAGTTACCATATGACCCAGGAATTCTACTTAAGAGAATGAAGAGACATGAAAACCTATGTCTGTATAAAAACCCGTACATGCATGTTCACGGCAGCATTTCTCATGATAGCCACAAAGTGGAAATAAGCCAAGTGTCCATTAACTAACAGTGGACAAAATGTGACCTATCCATACATTAGAATATAATTTGGCAATAAAAAGGAATAAGTATTGATAGGTGCTACAATATGAATGAACCTTGAATGAAACATACTAGTGAAGGAAAGCAGTCAGAGAAGACTACATATTGCGTGGTTCCATTTATACATTCCAGAATAAGCAAATCTATAGAGGCAGAAAGTAGAATAGTGGTTGCCTAGGGCTGGGAGGGTTGGGGAAATGGGAGTGACTTGCTAAGAAGTATAGGGTTTCTTTTTGGGGTGATAACATACCTTTTTTTGTTTGTTTTTGAGACTGTCTTGCTTTGTCAACCTGCCTGGAATGCAGTCACAGCTTACTGCAGCCTCAAACTCCTGGGCTCAAGTGATTCTCACACCACAGCCTCCCAGGCAGCTGAGACTACAGGTGTGTGCCACCACGCCTGGCTTCTGTTCTAAAATTAATTGTGATGGCTGTACAGCTCTACGAATACACCAACAGGCACTGAATTGTATACTTTAGGTAAATTGTATGTCATGTGAACTTTATCTCATTAAAGCTGTTATCAAAATCACAAACCTAAAAATAATTTTCACCAAAATTATTTCCCACAAATAATTAAAGTGACATTTCAGTCATTAACTATAATAGTTTTAAACTTTTTATTATGGAAATATTCAAATATAGCCAAACGTAGAGTCATTAATATAAAGAACTTCCATATACTCATCAGTCAGCTCCAAAAATTGTCAATGTTTTAGGGTACCCTTTCCCCCACATTTTACTACAAAAATTTAAAGCATCAGAAAAATTAGAAGATTATATAGTAGAAACCCATATACCTACCTCCGGTGTTCTCCCATTAATGTTTACTCTGCCTGCCTTACTCTGTATCTGACCATCCGTTTGTCCCTCTCCATCCATCAATTTGCTTTGTATTAATATATCCATTTCAAAGTAAATTGTAGACAGCAGTACACGTCCCCTTAAATACCCCAGCATGCATATGGTTGACTAGAGTTCAATATTTGTTTACAGTTCTCTTCTTGCTTTTGAGATGAAATGTATATACAGTGAAATGTACAAATTTAAAGTGTATATTCTATGAATTCTGACAAATGTATCGGTTTGCATGACTGAAGTTAAAGCCACTGTTCTAACATCTTTTAAAAATATTTTTAATTGGTTGGAGACCTTCAAAACAAATTCTTTTCATAGATTTATTGTATTTTAGTGTTGGAGTTTTTTGGAAAGTTTTTCTCTTTTTCAATTATATCCCTGAAGGGCAGAAATACCAATTACATATTATACGCTACCCATCTCTACACATCCTGAGCCTTCTTATGCTTCTGAATGAAAGCCAATTTAGCATTTCACTGTAAACCTGTGTTTTAATGTATGGCTCATGATTAACATATCAAAAACTTTGCTCTGCCAAAATCTACATTTTCAGAGTAAACAGGGTGCCTGGCATGTAATGCTTTGTAAGATGAATCTACATACAATTTTAAGCCAGTTAACATACAGTATGCTCAGTATTGTAACAGGTCTTCTTTCCTTCAGAAACAGGCAAACCAAGGTTTCTTTTTCATGTGGAAAAAATAATGGGGTAGAAAACTCAACACTCACCTTGCTTAATGAAACACACTACCAGGTTGTAATAATCAGTGGGAATTCATTTGCCCTTTTTTTCAATGCAGTCACTACAACAGTCTTTGTGATCATTATTTCAGGAAATTTGTACACATTTATGAGAAAAATACAATATAATTGACTAGTGATGATGTTCTATGCCATAAGCAATGCTGTTTTTAAATACAAATTGATAAAAAGTTAGATGAAAAAGGTGATCCTTAAATAGAATAAATTCATTTTGTTTTTTATGTTAAATCAAACTTTTCCACATTTTCAAAACGATTTTCATAGAGATGTTCCTGGGGCCTTCTGCTCAAAATTTGGACCACTTCATGCCCGTGCCATAACATCATTGATAATGATCCAAACACATTAGATCAATGGAAATCAGATGAGTTGGACAAATACAGAAGAGATCAAATTTACTGATGTTTTTGAATACGTGGCATGGCAATTGCCCTTTGCAGGATGAAAATATTAATTGTACTTTTCTTTAATCACAAATGTTGTGGATTCTCCCTGGACTCTAGAAAGTCTTTCGTATTTCTTAATTACCAAATCTTGGGTCGCACATAGGTTTCTCCTTGTTCCTGTTGCACCCAGGGCTGTCTTGGCCATTTCCTCTGAAAACAACTATACATTAACATTCAAGGTTTGAGTCGGGGGCTGGGAGGCGAAGGGAAAGGTGATAATTCAGATGTTATGAAACTGTGATAATGCTATTATTTAAGGCACTTATTTGGGTATGTTTATACTTTGTAGTTTTATAAATAAGCCCAAGGGGCTCCTCTTGGTTGTCACAATCCCCCTTGAATCTCGTATCCTGTCTGTCTCATCCTATCCGACAGTAGAATTGATGCCGCTCTAATCCCTGGAAGTTTGGAACTAATGAACTGACTGCTGAGCTGCCGCCACGGAGCTTGGTCCCAAACTATACTGTACTTCACACTCGATTTATTCTCCAGATGGCGAGACTGTGCTGCCCTGCCGCGAGGGACCACCTCTTCCACTGGAGTGTAAAAGTGGACGGATGTTGTTTTCTTTGCAGATTTGATCATTCTGAGCTAGAAACTTGCGAGGATGATTAGTTATTAGCTTTAATGGGTGCCAATCGAACCAACTGCACGCATATTTTCTCCTTTAATTTCAGAGTCTGCAGGTCTCGGTGATGGTTGATTTCTCTGCTTTCTTACGTCACCAGAGCATGTCTCTTCCCCAGGTGATAGGAATCCAGTCTCTGAAATCATAGCATGCCTTGGTTCCTGGCCCAGACAGAGTCACATAATACAGTGGCTTATGGATAAGGACAAGTTTATTAGCCACTGGTCCACTGCACTGAGCAGCATGGCACGAAATATCGATTGAATGCGGCAACTTTGGGAACACCATTTTTTAGAACAGGGGCCTGCAAAGATTCTGATCTGTGCCACTTTCCTCTGCAACCCGGGCAGAATCCACCTTTGGAATCAAACAAGACCCAGAACACACTATGGTATTTAGTCTCTTCGAAGGTCTAATGTAACTGTTGATAACGGCCTTGATTCCATTATTCAGTCGTTTCCAGCTTGTCATATCTTGGGGGACAAGTTAATTCCACAGTGAGAAGGGCTCACCAAGGCTGCCCTGTAGCGTTAACACACTTAGAATGCAGTCCCTCGCAAACCTCATTTTAAACAACCTATATTGCTCCCAGGATGTAAAAGTCCCCATAAAAGCTCCTTTTGGGGTGGCCTCTTTTACCTTAATTTCCCTTTTCTCCTTTCTCCAGGAAGCACTTACCTCCTAATAATCGCAGCAGATCACCCTGAGAGCCTTTCCGAGACCCAGGGTCAGACAGGCAGCCTCTTGCCAATCCACCTAAGATGGATATTGGAGGGATGGTCACAGCCAACCAGGAGCCAAAGAGAGAGAGAGAAAAAGAAGGAAAGTGTGAAGCGTGAAGGACGAGGTGGAGATGAGAGAGAGCTAAGAGAGCACCGTTAGCAAGAAGTACAGTGTGTGTTGCAGAGAGGGAGGGGAAAAATGAGAGAATAAAATCAACAATCTCTTTCTTTCCACAACTGGGTGGACTGTGACTCTCGAACTGAACAGCCAGAACTAAACTTAATTGTTCTTAGCAACTGCCTTCCTCTGAACCCAACAGATGGCATGGGTGTGTTTGCTAGCGCACTCACATATTTCACCCTGAAAATACCGAAAAGAAAAAAAATTCAACATGCTTGTTGGTTGGAGCAAATTCACTCAAGTTGTTGGGTGTTAGGGATATATACCAGAGGGTGCACACTTGGTTTATGTAAATTGTTGCAAGCAACAGCCTGTTAATAAGGGCGGCGTGTGGCAATATACCTCAAAAGCCATCATCTCTTTTTGGAAATGTACAGAATGATGAAGTGGAAAGTGCTTGGTTTTCATTCTGAGCCAAAATTTTTAAAATGCTGAGTATTCACTGCTCATTGCAATAATATGAAAAGGACTAATCAGATTATGCCTAAAATTGGAGTTAGCTACTTCATTGGCAACCAATTTCACAAGGGCTGAATTTTGCTAAGTAAACTGGAAAGTGCTGAAACCGTGGCAATCTGACTTTAGATAAAAATCACAAACAGCTTTAGAACAGGAGCTGTGAACAAACAGTCTCTTCAAATCCAAGCGAAACCCAACAGCTTTGAGATCAGATTTTTGCTGCTAACCAAGATGAACAATTTAGGAAGTTGACGTGGCCAGGGGTTCTGCGTCCTTGAGCACACATGCAGGTGACAGGATGGAGATGACGACTCAGAAAATTCAAGTTTTTAAAATGCAGTATGGCCTAAAAAATCTAGTGATTTCCCTTCCATTTTCCATTCACACCGCCCCAGTAGAGTCTTTGCAAGGCTGACTTAGCTATTAAAAAGGAACCTGGAAGTTATGTTGACAAACTCCAGCAAATCTGCTGGACTCTTTGTATCTGCATAGGCTACACAGAACATAACATGCTTTAGGCTCTCCACAGCCATGGATCTAAATGTGCCTTCCAAAAAGCTGGAGGTATTTCAGGTTTGGGGTTTTGTTTTTGTTGTTGTTGTTTTTTGTTTTGTTTTTTGAGATGGAGTCTCGCTCTGTGTTCCATACGGGAGTGCAAAGGTGCGATCTCGGCTCACTGCAACCTCCACCTCCTGGGTTAAAGCAATTCTCCTTCCTCAGCCTCCCAAATAGCTGGGATTACAGGCATCTGCCACCATGCCCGGCTAATTTTTTTTTTTTTTT